CGATAACAACAGCGACGAAATTATAAATTATAGACGAAAGGGGACAAGATTGAAATTTTGCGATGAAGACGACGACGACGATATAGAAGACCAAAGAGACCATACAACATTGAAATTTTATGAAAAAAAGCGAAGAAAAAGACAGCGACAACAACAGCGACGAAATTATAAATTATAGACGAAAGGGGACAAGATTGAAATTTTGCAATGAAAACAACGACGACGACGATATAGCAGATCAAAGAGACCATACAACATTGAAATTTTAACGAAAATTTAGCGAAGAAAAAGACGGCGACAACAACAGCGACGAATTTATAAATTATAGACGAAAGGGGACAAGATTGAAATTTTGCGATGAAGACGACGACGACGACGACGACGACGACGACGACGACGACGACGACGGCGACGACGACGTATCTGAATGACATAAAATCGGGCAAAAAAATGCATACACATTATGCGCTTGTGCATCAAATGCATTTATGGACATCGCTATTACAGCATTGTGATTGGAAAAATATAGACTTTTTCACAAAATAGGCATTTACCGATAATATTCATATAATTAAAAGATATAATAATTTATTGCTATAGAAACGTTATCCGTCCGGTAAAGGATACACTGTAGCGTCTCTGTAAGTACAAAAATATTTCCTGATTGTTATGTAGCAAAAAAATATACTTGGCGGAAGACGCTACCGCGTCTCCTGATATATAAAGTATATTTGACTGAAATTATGCCAAAAATTGTTTATTTCTCGTTTATGTTTTATTATCTATACAAAAAAAAATGGAATAAAATTTCATAGTAAAAATCAATTTTTTAGAATAAATTTATTAATTAAAAGAATACATAAATAGATATGAAAATATTATATATATCTGTTTAAATCTCTGAGACTTTCAATAGAATCCTTGCAAGAGTTACAATCTTACATGCGCGGAGTTAGACACACGCCACAACTCTGCGTGTATCTAACTCCGAACTGTCACATCATCATCTTCACTGTGAAACTCGCCATGAACTCGATGGTATCCTCGACCGCCAATCACGTACGTGGAAAAGCGGCAACAATTCCTTCGATATATTCGACTTCAAACACACACTTCTCGCGTAAACACGACTTTTTTTATTAGGGATTAAAACATTTTTTAATGAACAATTTATTATATATTTTAAAATGTAAATTCTAAAATAAATAATAAAACATTTTTCACTATGTAGAAGTTTCCAAAGGACGATCATGTCCATGTTACGCCAACATGGACAAATGTTGGAAAGGTTGCAACAACAGCAGCAACAATCACAACAGCCGTAACAACAGTTGCAACAATCGCAGCTGCAAGAGGCACAGCAGGTACCAAATGGTATGTTATTTATGTAAATAAATATAAATTACACATTTATTTAATGATTATTAAACTATATTAAATATATTTAACATTTGTTGTATATTATATATATTATACTATATTATATATATTTAACGTTAGTTGTAATAAGATTATAATATTATTTTATTTTTGCAGTATTTCATCGAGGACAAGGGTGTGGAAGGAGCCACGCCCGCTGGTACTATAATCAAGGTGGCAGAGGCGGCGGTCGAGGTGGCGGTCGAGGCGGCGGTCGAGGACGCGGTCGAAGAGGTAATTGGGACGGTGGTCGAGGCGACAAAAGAGACGACGAAAAACTGTCATCATTAAAAAATATTTTAATTATTAATTATTATTATTTAAAAAATATATATAATAATAAAATTAATGTGTTACTTATTGTTCGGGCACGGAACCGATTCGTGCTCCGCGCATGTTTCTCCCTTGGTCGGCCCGTGCTCCGACTATTACGTTCTTTCCGCCGAAATGCGAAAACAAGCAAAAAGTGCTTTCATCATACTGGCGCGTTTACGCCTGATTGGGCGAATTAGCATCATGCGAGCGTTTCACCAATCGTCGCAAATCCTTTTTCGCGATGCTCCTGCGGGACGAAAACAGAGCAGCGACTCGCGACTCAGATTCACGGACGATCGCACAACGCGAGCACGTATCACTCAACCACAGTATATACAATAGCGCAACTCTCCTGATTTTGTGTTGGTCAAAACGAAGTACGCATGCGCGAAATGAGTAAGTTCCCCAGTAACGCCATCTGAGGTTTTGTCTCACTTGCTCTTTGTTGCTCTCTTTCTATTTAAATGACTGTCGCAAACAAGTCCATTTAAACGTTACTGGAGTAAACATTGGAGCGAAATTTGGAGGGAAACTGTTGTCAGTTGCTTCAGTGGCATTTGTGATTGTAAGTGTATGTGCGTGACATGCCTCAGATTGAGGAAGTCGTGTATTTTTCGATACGAAAGTGAAAAAGTAAAAAAGTGAAACAGTGAAAAAAGTGAAATAAGTGAAAAAGTGGACAAAAGTGAAAATAAATATCGACAAAAAGAACGATCTTTCCTAAGAGAATAGTTTACTTATATAAAAAATTGTATAAGTTCTCTATTCTCTTTAAAACACTTTTGATCTTAGCTCTGTGTTTTAGATATTGCTGTATAAGACCGAGAAAGAGAAGAAATTTGGAAAATATGAGTGGAAAAAAACAGCCAAGCTGTGCAGTACCATTGTGTATCCAAAGTCACAATGTGGAAGGACGATTTTTTTTTAGATTTCCAAGAGAGCATGACAGGTATCGTTTTATAATTATTACTTTTAATATAAATCATATTTTGTAGATTTTATTATGTGCATTACTTGATTATTGATAAATACTATAATATAATAATATATTGTATATAGATGGTTGCAATGGATACGAGCATGTGGAAGGCTGGATCTAGAATCCAAAGGTCCGGAATATGCCTATCAAAATTATCGTTTGTGCCATTTGCATTTTGAGAAAAAATGGTACAAAATTAACAAAATTAAAGCTCGTCTTCATCCAGACGCTATACCGACTCTATTTGGATTAAATTTAGGACAAGAGTGAGTTTTTATTTAAAAAATTAATTATTTATTTAATATAATTTAGTTAATTAGGATTTTGTTTTTATTATTTATTTATTTTATACATTTACTTATTTATTTCATATAATTAAGTAGTAAAATAAATACGTATGTATAATAAAAACAAAATATTTTTATAAAAATAAAAATGTTCTCTATTAATATAAATTATCTAGTCTTCTCTTCCACTTGAATTGTTTTTGCACATGTATTTTTGAAACCAAGAAAAAAAATGTTTTATAATTTTATAAAATAATATTAATTTAAATAAATACAAAATATTACAGTTTAAGCATGTTTATAAAATTTAGTTTGTGCATATTTTTTTCGATTTCAATTGTATTTTTGAAAAAAAGATTTTAATTATTAAATTTTTATTATTTATTTATTTATTTTATACATTTACGTATTTGTTTCACTACTTAATTATAAGTAATTAATAAATAAAATAAGTAAATAAATAATAAAAACTAAATAATTAAAATCTTTTTTCAAAAATACAATTGAAATCGAAAAAAATGTGCACAAAAAAATTTCATAAACATGCTTAAACTATAATTTTTTGTATTTATTTATATTAATATTATTTAATAAAATTATAAAGCATTTTTTTTCTTGGTTTCAGAAATACATGTGCAGAAGCAATTCAAGTGCAAGAGGAGAGTAGGTAATTTATTTTAATAGAGAACATTTTCATTTTTATAAAAAAATAAAATATATATAATTTAATAACACTTGTATTATAATTTCAGCGATGCAGACACTGTCAATGATGTCAATGATGATATCATTCAGCCAATTGAAGTGCAAGAGGACACTAGGTAATTTATATTAATAGAGAACATTTTCTTGTAATAAAAATAATGTATAACATAATTTAATGATATTCATTATATTTTCAGCAATGCAGACAATTCAAATATGATCCTGCCAATTGATAACATAGCTGAAGTTGCTAGACCGTAAGTTTTTAAAAGTTTTAATAAATTTTAGTTATATTAAAACCTTAGAACATATATTACTGGAAGGAGAATAGAGTGCTGAACGTGAAGTCAACATCTGTGCGAGAGAGAAAGGTATAGATATTAGATTCCCAATTGTCTGTAATGCGCACGTACCATTCAGTCCCCACCTAGTCCCGTTTTTAATTTTTTTTTTAAGATTTTCTAAAAATAAGAAATTAGGCAAAACGGGCTGAGTAGAGGCTGAATGGCACATGCGCACTACAGATAATTGGGAATCTATACCTTTCTCTCTCGCACAGATGTTGGCTTCACGTTTAGCACTCTCCTTCCAGTAATATATGTTCTAAAATTAAAGATTAAAATCTAAAATTAAAATATTTTTATTTTTTTGCAATAAATTTTTTTATGATGTTTAATTATTACTAGAAATTATTACTACAAATTATTAATAGTATTGCAGACATATATAGTTAAAAACTGCTTGTTTAAATATAAAAATGTGTAGTTTTAATATTAAAACATTCTTTACTTAACATATTTTTTAACTTAATATTTTATTTAATATTATTTACATTTTCTATTTATTTCTTGTCAGCACAATTGTTAGATGATTTTATAGCATATTAAAAAATAATTTTTGTTGTCGTGAATCTGAATGTATTCGTATAAATTACATCTACATCTACTGATGGAAGTCGACTGAACGTTAATAAGTCGTCGGATGATAGTCCAAGGAAAAGGAAATTACGTTTGAAGATCAAGAAATTGAAGGCGTAAAATAAAACGCTGCGGGAAACAATCCGACGACTTTGCCTGCAGAAAACAAAAAAGAAGGCAAAAATAGAAGATGACGAATGCGAAAAATTAAAAAAATTGGACCGTAAGTTGTTGCCTGATAATTTTAATAGAATATTGGCAGCACAAATAGACGCACAATTCAAAAGTAAACGAGGCAGAAGATATGATCCCGAATTCAAAAAGTTTGCGTTGTCGTTATTTTTCTTAAGTCCACGTAATTATAGAGAACTTAAAAAAACAATTGCTTTGCCTTCGGTACGTTCTCTACATAAATTTACAGAAACGTGGAATATTGTACCGGGAATAAATGATAAAATTTTTGATGCACTAAAAGTTAAGTTTCATTCATTACCAGAATTAGAACGACATTGTATATTAACGGCAGATGAAATGAGTTTAAAAAGTAACTTATTTTACAATGTATCACGAGATGAAATTATTGGATTCGAGAACACTGGTATTCAAAAATCATCCTTACCTGCTAAAAGTGCTTTGGTTTTAATGGCACGTAGCATTGCAGGTAACTGGAAACTGCCCGTTTGCTTTTGTTTTGTAGAGACTGCGTGCCCTAGCAACTTTTTAAAAAATATTTTATTTGATGTAATAATTAAATTAA